CGCGGTTGAGTTCAGGGAGATTGGACGGGAGAAATTTTCAAGCGTTTTGTGCGATACATACATCCGTCCTTCACTTAAACCTCGATACGTCTTGTAATTCATATCATCAATCTCAGTATAGCTTCTTCGATGTATATAGGGACTCCTCGTTATCGACCATGAGATTAAATGGGCAAGTGGTTATTTTGCCACTATGACAGTATGAAATGTGAGCAATTAAACCGATGACATCAAGAAATTGGAATGGAACCTACATTCCACAATTCAGATCCATCTTGGAGTGAAAGGGTTTACGGAAAACGAATTGAGGTGATGACCTACTATGGTTGTACCATTGCGTTATATAAATAAAAACTTCATCAGTGATGACTTCATAAATTTCAAGCACAAGCTTATTGCAGTGGCAATGCACAAAGTCATGATCATGTAGGTCCTTCTTTGGTTGTTGGACGAAGATATCACACAGAGTGGAGGCCCCATAATCAGACTGACCCTTGACCCGAAAGTGCTGTTTTCTGCAAAATCTTCGTGGCTCAAATAAATTTTCTTGCACAAAAATATCGCATTTCGTTGTATGTACGCTTGAACCAGAAACCATGCTACTTGACCATCATTATTTTCCGAGTTGGGCTGGCTGTGTCATGGCTTCAGAAGTGGTTTCAGATATGCTGAGAAATAGGGGGGTATCCGCTCTACCTCCTTCAAGGCATTTGAGAAGACGTTAAAAGAATACAGGAAGGATAACTATGTGGTATTTGTGCATTTAGCCAGCAATCAAAGCACCATCACTGTTTTTGGCTACTGGAAATATACTGGGCGGCCAGCAAACCTAATGAAAATCAGGGAATCCGAAGAAGCTGGTAAGTCGAGCGTGTCTATTGTTAACATAAATTACACGAGGCACCGAGTGCACGGTTCACTTTCGTCAAATATAGGCGAACCATCTCTCGGTGTTTTTTATTATCTCAAACAAGACTGAGGTTCCTAATTATTTTACGATTGACTTTCGGTGAATCGACAGGCAACCAAAGGGGAGCTGGGCACATTCAGAGCCCTACTAAAGCATGGGACGCTATCGTGTGAAGTGCGGCAGCCTGTAGCCGATGGATTTGGCAAGGTCCTCACCGCTCGTACATATGCGACCACCGCTGGCCATCCCTGTTGAGTAAGTGAGGGATATTTGGGTTCTGCTGCGGCGGAAGATGTGACTTCTGTCCTGGAAACTCTTCGCGAATCCGTCGTGCACTTACACTGCAGTCAGGTCCAGGAATATTGCACTGTATAACTGGTGACAGAAACAGTAGCACTCCCAGTCTGAAAAAAATTAATAAGGGGTTTGCGAAAGTGCTTGAATTCAAAGCGGTAAACTGAGGATTTTATTATTTGAATATTCCAAGGGACTTTTGCGCAAGTAAGCTTCAGGAGGAAAATGCTGTTGACTGCAGGCAATGACAAATCTAAAGAATGAAAAAAATCACCTTGAATTTTGATGTCAACCAACAGGTTTGTCCAAATTTGATTGTTATTTCTCATGAGCTCCTGTGCTGCTAGTCACAAACAGGGCGGCGTTCAACATCGAATATATGACTGGTGTGCTTTTTGCGCTGTACTCTGGCGGACTACAGACTGCAGGGTACCACGACCTTATAACACATTGAGCTCATGTGACCACACACTTAGTTCTGTCTAAAGGCTTGACAGTAAGGTCTAAGATCTTGATTTCTACGGCGATCCACGCTAACTCTACTTGTTTCTTCTTCTGGGTCTTAGGCTACGCGCTTCCGAAAAATTGTGCTTCAGCTATATTTGTTAAGCATTCTTTGCAGGCAGGCAGTGATGCTAGATTTGAACATAATAGTGAAGATATACAGATCGACCAAATTTTTCAATAAACAAACTCATCCGCCAAATGTTTCGGTGTGCATCTTCTACGTGATCACATCAGGACAGACCATATGGTAAATTAACTTCACTGTTCTGGAAGCGACCTCGATTCTTGGAGACTAGTGATTGTGAACCATACAGACACTGGCCACAAAAAACGCATGCACTCACCAAGTGCATATTTGAATTGAGCTAGTAGGAGACGCTTTGAGACCAGGCACAGATGGCATGGATATTCTTCTGGAAAGCCCTGGAGTCAGCAGCGAGATATCAGACCTGGCCGAAAGTGATATTGCCGTTTTAGTTCACTGCTGTGCATGCATCATCAAGATGCTACGTGTAAAATTTAACAATAAGTGACATGACGGCTGCCGGAGAATTCTGTAGTCAGTTGTGGCTGTTCTTTTGTCAAGTCTCCACAAACTAGTCACACTCAGTAAATTGGTCGCATAATATTTATAGCCCATACACATAGTCCCAAGAGGGCACCGAAGGGGCGATGCTGGATCATGTAAGTCGAAAGAGGTGCCAAGCACGTTTGCGTTGGACATCTGGGTCTGCTGAGATGTGACACGTTGCGAACACGTCCACCTAAGCGTTTGGTTTTCTGTTTCTTAGCAATTTGCCTATGTCCTCAAAATTATCTACTGGGTACTGCATAGCAATAAGCAACAATCGCCTTGAGGATATGACTAGGGGTTAGCCTGGGGGAACAGAGTTTACCTAATTCGAGTTTATAGTTGACCACGATGTTGAAATACGTGAGGCTGAAATTCCGACTCGCTCGCAGTTTATATTGGCATGATCACTCCACCATTGTCCATCTATAGTGTTATCATAAATTAGATCACGTCAAACCCTGATCCAGATGGTTTAATGCGTGAGGTTTTCCGGCACAATAAAATTCCCCAACAAGGCGACCTAAAATCCTCAACCCTTCACTGACTTATGACCTATTTTGCTGATCAGGAAGAAGGCCTGTTGTTTTGTTGAATGACAAAGATTTATCGGGCAATAAGCTACACTTCGATAGTATCTGAGATATTCAAACTAATAATGACGCCTTTCACTCTACTATATGTTTCATGGACACATTCGACTGTTCTTCCTGCGGCAAAGACTTCCCGTTTATGCTCTCCAAAGAAGCCATCATACTCAGTTCATCTCTAACACAACAGCAGGCTTAAGCACCTTAAACACATGTGGCTAGAAAGGTGGGTGAATTTTCCAACTGAGAACTTTACCACAACTTCACGTTGGCGATTCCGTTCTATCATTTTAGCCTTTGATGCTCAACACTACCTACAGCACTCAACATCCGAGTCTGAGCTACTTAACAAAAAAGTTCACATTGTGACGGGCTCCGAATGGGTGCTTCAAATGTTTCTTACGTCAGTAACTCAACAGATGATCTAGCGATCCGCTAAGGAGAGTCACCGCGAGAGTTTCGGAGTGGGATGTTGCAGTCTTTTTATCCATCTAGGTTACTGGATATTTTTCAACGCCTCCTAGATTTCAAAATAATATCTGCCAAAAAACTCCTACCTTGGAATTCCATAACACACCGTTCTATGAAATTTCAACTTGAAATGGAAAGCCTGATTCAAACTATCCGCTAAGATACATAACTTTCCATTCACTTCGAAGAATGTCACAAGCACCTGTTCCTTGAAAGTGAAAGAAGAAATTGACGTCTTTTCGTAACTGAGTGATTCCTTTTGTCAACCAGATCACAGTTACAGGGAAAGCAGAGCTACGTGATCATACAGGTTGTATACAACTATCTAACTATCAAACCCGGCTAACGATTCGACCATTAAACTCGCAAATTTTTAAGAGGCACCGACGGTCAAGTAGTGGTGCACTGTTAGCTCAAGTCTGATACACAGAAGTGAACGTCGACAGCAAGAATAGGACAGAGACGGGTATACAGCTAACTTCAGTCTGATTCTCCGCCCGGAGTGCTGATACAAAATATCCGACCTTGCGTACATTTTTCAAACTCTGATGGGTACTCGGGCGATTTGCAAGAATCACAACAAACAGTTACAACGGTGTTGCTGCGCCATAACGTGAACCTGGAGATAAGCAGAAAAGGTAGCGAAATAGATCAGGACTATGAATATCACAAAGTAAGGAGTTCACAAAAGTCAGGTAGATGAAAGAAAAGAAAACAGTATTTTAGGACGTGAGAAGGGTAAGGATAAGAGGGGTAAACAATCCTAAAATGAACAGATGGAAAACATGGGACAATGGAATGCTGTGTGTTGGGATTTCGGTAAGAGATGGGTCCCTAGGAGACGGTTTGATTAAGAACGGAGAGAAAGCTCGGAAGGGGAAGCTGATGGTGGAGAGAACTTGCAAAAAGTCGGAAATCATAATTGGTATTGCTCTTCAAGACAATGAATAACAAAGCATTCACATGAAGAAAAATGAAGTGACCCTGTCATGCACACTTAATGAGAATATGGACAGCAGAAGCGCCAACCAGTTAATGCTGGGTTGGGCGAGGTTAGTTTGACAAGGTACGGCGTCAGGACGGTGTTACATATAGACGAGAAGTAGCAAAATATTACGATTTGTTCCGAGGTGTAACGGAACTAGGGGACTGAGGCTGAGTGTTAGACGAATTGGCTCGGCTTAGACGAGAAGAATCGTGTCCAGGCTGAGTGCTGGGGTTAGGGTCAGGTAGACCAGTACTGAAGTAAGGAGCCACATGCTTATTCAGTAATGTGTGACACACATCACACACTCGAGCAAGGCGTCCTGCTGATCCTGACGAGACGGTATTTTTCATGCAATTTTGGCAGTGAACTTTACCACAGTGACGACAGTTGATCTTTCGACTGCTTCCAAGGCCGGAATGAAAAGGAGTACTGCAGGCGAAACAAGTGGCGACATCATCGGGGTCCACCAACGGAGTTC